AAAAAAAAAAAAAGAAATAAGAAGAGAAATTTATTAGTCTACATAATAGAGAGATAACGTTTGCTTTTAAATACACGCATTTATTTTTTCTTCTTCTTCTGTATTATTATTTCTTCTGAAAGATCAGCAAAGCAGGTAAAAGAAACAGCAGCCAGAGAAAGAATCTCTAACCTAACACAAATACGTAGACGAGTAAAAAAAAAAAAAAAAAAGCTTCCAACTTTGGTCGAAACCCTTAGACAGTAGAAAGAAACAAACAAGACATTTCTTTATGGTGTACGCACTGATACCACAGGAAACAATCTCTAAAATCATAAAAAGAAAAAAACACATTAGACATTAGACTCTCTATTCTACCAAATGACTCATCCGGCAGGACTTACGAAGGGGCAGATTATTAGGTCCCTACCTCTCCAGACCCCTCCACGTGGAGGGACCAGGGGGTAACTGGGACGCTAAAGAAAAAACCGCACAGTCCTTTTCTCTACGCCCAGATGGTAGCTTTCTCCATCCATCGAGAAAACAACAAAGTGGAAAACGAGAATGAAAAACAATCCCGCCCTTTTCAATTAGGAGAACAAAAACAGTTGCATATTCTTCCCACGAGCTACCTATCATCATCATCATAAACTGCTCGTCTACACTTTTTTCACGACATGTATTGCCATTATTATTATTACATAGTTTTTTTTTTTTTCTTTTTTTTTCCTTACCTTTTCCCATAGGTATCTTAAAGAGAAAGCCATACAGTAACATTTTCCCTTTCCACCATATTTCCCTTTTTTATCCCCTTTCTTCTTCATATTCTTTCCGCCACAGAATAAAGCAAAGGACAGCGTTGATGACCTGCAGACACCAGGCGGTCACCATCAGTCCAAATCCCGCGCCAAGTTTCCATCCATCATTTTTATACGAGGGCAGCTCAAAAAGGAGAATTTTGCACATCTTCTGATGGTAAACACCGGCCGCCGTGGCCCACGCAATGAGAATTGTGCAGACCGAGACAATAGCGCAAACCTTGGCAACAAATGAACCAATTTTTATCGTGTCCTTCAAGAAGATCATAAAAACACAAACAAGAGTAAAAAAGATGGAGATAATGGCAAACGCAGCACCAGCCCTCATGGTATTCCTTTGTCGGTCACACTGAAAAGACCGTGAGGAGTACTTGGTGGAAGAGCATTTGCGGGCTCCCCATAGCGTAATGCAGCTATCACCTCCAAGAACATCAAGTCTGAACATTTCTAGAGGTGTGGCAATCAGTACGAAGAGGAAGACGATCGCCTCAACTACCAGCGGGATGAGTCCGAGACCAAACTTCATTTTTTTTCTTTTTTTCTTTAACTTGCTTGGTTGTTTGGTTGTTTTCTTTGCTTATTTATTGGTTGGTTATTCCTTGTTCGGGATATAGCTATTTAAGATAGCGGAGAGAGAATAGATATTTCAAAAAAAAAAAGAAAAAAAAATGAAGAATTATCTCCCCAACTTTTTTTTTTCCCCCCGTTCCTCCCTCTTCAAGAAAAAAGTTAGTAGGACCAAAAAATAAGATGAGAACAAATAGTAAAAATAGTGTGAAATACAACAAATTATACTCCTTTTGATAAGCATTTTTTTTTTTCTTCTTGTATGGCACCTAATCAAATCAAAAATAAAAAAAATGAACAAATAAATAAAGTATGTAACAAAACCCAATAATCCCAGAATTATTAAAAAGAGGAAAAAAAATACATGACCTTACCTTTTTTTTCCACATGCATGAACGTTTTTTTTTTTTTTTTTACTTTTGCTCCTTTTACCCTCGAGTCTTTTTTTTTTTTGTTGTTGTTTGACGTTTTTCTTCCGTTTTTCTCTTCCCAAACCCTTCATTTCCCTTTTTACAATTTCGTTTTGCTAGCAATCAGAATCATGTGGAACAAAATATAATGGAAATATCAATAAACGGGGGAAATAAAACAAATACCTTACAGAAAAAAAAAAAAACATTCTGATGTAGACGACATTGAAAATAAAAATAAAAATAAAAAAAAACCAAGAACACCTAGGGTTCTCTTGCCAACAAATATGTATTATATATACATACATATATATATATATATATATATATATATATATTCTTTCTTTTATTTCAGTCGATAACAGTTCCCAGTACTGCTTCAGGTGTGTATTTCTCAATAATATCACGTTTGTGTACCAAGTCAAACTCTGTTGTCGCGTCTTTTCCAGCATAAAGTAAAATAGACTGTTTCCCACCAGGATGATCGGGCAAAAAAGCAGTCAAATCAAGTACTTGTCCAGCAATAATACACCAACAGTCATTTGGTTTGTTATGTTTTGCAACTTCAGCCCTTGTAAATTTCTTACCGCCTTCACTACTGCTGTTATTATTGTTACTGTTGTTGTTCGACTCTTGTTTGACGTTGGATGCAGTAACATCCTCTGAAGATTCAGGAGAAGAAACACCAGTAGGTAGTGGTTTCAATGGTGAGAGTTGATCAAGTGTGAGATGTGAGTAAATGGTGTTTAAGCGGTAGTTAGATGTTGGTCCAAGAAAAGTGGAGAGTAGATATCGAGTAGCTTCCTCTCCAGCAACACGCCCAAATACCACACAATCCAATAGTGAATTCCCACCCAAACGATTTTTACCATGAATACCACCAGCTGCCTCACCAGCGCAGAAAAGTCCAGGAATGGGTTGTTTGGTTCGGCTGTCCAATACTTCTGTTCGTACATTCACAGCAAGTCCACCCATTGTATAATGAACAACAGGTGTAATGAGGGCAACATAGAGTGGAGCGTTAATTCGGAAAGAATCGGCATTGCGATATATTGTTTTACCATAAGAACCCGGGATTTTATTCCCCTCTTTCTCCATATCTGTTGATGATGATGATGATGATGATGTTTTCCCTTTTAAACGACGTAAACGACGTTGTAATCTTTCATGTGCTTTTGCCACTTTACGGTAGGCGTCAAATTCACGTTGAAGTTCACTTGGTTTAATTTTCATCTCTTCTGCCAATTCCACACCACTTTTATAATGCTTCATTAATCCTCGTCCAGTGTAATGTTTACAGTGCCATGGCATTTCTTTTGCACATGCCTCTGTTAACACTAGACGAAATGGTGTTAAGTTATTTTGTAACATAGCATGACTGACTTCATCACGACGACCGAGTTCATTTACAAATCGTTTTCCTTTACCATTAAGGATAAGAGCACCTGTTCCTCGTAGAGCCTCAGCACAGAGGAATTTTACATGATTGTCGGAATCTTTAGGGTCTACCAAACCTGTAGGATGTACTTGTACATATTCCATATCTGTTAACATAGCACCAACTTGTTCAGCAACCTTAATACCATCGCCAGTTGCGTGTTCAGCATTTGTGGTTGAAAATTTTAACAGATTTGGAGTAAATCGAGCCAATAAAGAGTTGTTCTTATCCATATCACTGCTTCCAAAATCGGCTGCATAACCTCCAGTAGTGATAATCACCACCCCACGTTCCACACGTTTCTCTCCTTTACGATTCTCCAACACCACTCCAGTAATGGGAGCCGACACATCATCTATTGGTTCACGAATGAGCCGAATAACTTTTACTTTTGTTACAATTTGAACTTGCTGTGGATTTTTCTTCTGTTGTTCCTCCAGTGCATCAATAAGGGCACATGTAATCGCCATTCCGGGAAATCGCTCACTCCCGCGGTGTACTCGTGGTTTGCTGTGTCCACCCATCAATCCAAGTTGTGATAAATCAATATGAAATCGTCGTGTAAGCCATTCCAAGCTAGGCGCTGAAAGTCGTGCAAGTTCCTCCACAAGTGGTGAAACTTCTTTATCGATCTTGTTATTATTGTTGTTACTTTCATTTTTATTCTTGTCGTTACCACTATTGCTAATACCGTGGAAACTGCGGTTTGTGTCCTGTATAAACTGAGCCACTCCATCAAGCACACCGGCATCTATCTGTGCTTGTGTGGGAGTTCCGGTGATGCCACTGCTGGCCTTTGTGCTGTTGCCGCCGAGAAAGGCGGACTTGTCCACCAGCAAGACGGAGCCGCCGTGCTCGAGTACACTGTGGGCCGCGCAGAGACCGGCCAGACCCCCACCCACCACAATCACTCGATTTCCACCAACCACAGGGGATGTCATTGGATTGTCTCTCTCTCTCTCTCTCTGTCTGTATGTATATATATATATATATATATATATATATATATATATAT